CACCTCCATCCCCTGGGATCAGGAGATCACCTCCATTCCCTGGGATCAGGAGATCACCTCCATTCCCCTGGGATCAGGAGATCACCTCCATTCCTCTGGGATCAGGACACCACCTCCATTCCTCTGGGATCAGGAGATCACCTCCATTCCCTGGGATCAGGAGATCACCTCCATCCCCTGGGATCAGGAGATCGCCTCCATTCCCTGGGATCAGGACTGACAGGATGGAGCAGCAGCTCCAGAGACACTTGGACCCCACTTTGCACGAATCCCCCGGATCCCAACATTCCTGTCGGGATCCACATTCCCACTGGGCTCAGCAGGGACAGTCGGGGTCTCCGGGGGTTTCATTCCACCTTTTCCCACCGGAGCTTCATTCCACCTTTTCCCACCGGGGCTTCATTCCACCTTTTCCCACTGGGATTTCATTCCACCTTTTCCCACCGGGGCTTCATTCCACCTTTTCCCACCGGGGCTTCATTCCACCTTTTCCCACCGGAGCTTCATTCCACCTTTTCCCCCTGGGATTTCATTCCACCTTTTCCCACCGGGGTTTCATTCCACCTTTTCCCACCGGGGTTTCATTCCACCTTTTCCCACCAGAGCTTCATTCCACCTTTTCCCCCGGGGTTTCATTCCACCTTTTCCCACTGGGATTTCATTCCACCTTTTCCCCCTGGGATTTCATTCCACCTTTTCCCACCGGGATTTCATTCCACCTTTTCCCCCTGGGATTTCATTCCACCTTTTCCCCCTGGGATTTCATTCCACCTTTTCCCCCTGGGATTTCATTCCACCTTTTCCCACTGGGATTTCATTCCACCTTTTCCCACTGGGATTTCATTCCACCTTTTCCCACCGGGCTTTCATTCCACCTTTTCCCACCGGGATTTCATTCCACCTTTTCCCCCCCTCGGGAGCTGCCCGGGGCTGTTCCCGTTGCTGTCCCCGGGGCTGTCCCGGGGCTCCACCCGGACCGGTCCTCCCGGTTGGGCAGGAAGCAATTTCCGAAATTTCCGAGCTGTCACCCCGGGACACGTCCCGGGATGGCTCCGGCTCGGGGTGACGCAGTCGGGGTGACACGCTCGGGGTGACACGCTCGGGGTGTTGTTGTCGTTGGCACGTCAGAGCCGCTCCCGGGGCGGTTACCGCTCCCCATTCCCAGCAGGTGCTTCCCTGTCCCATTTCCTGCTCGGGGAAAGGGGTGGTGACAACCCCCAGCCCAAATTTGCCATCGGAACACCGCGTTCTCCAGGCGGGATTCTCCCAGAAAACCTCCCCAGGAGGAATTCTGTGGGAATTCCCCGCTTTCCATGGGGATCCGCACCCCCATGAGCGTGCTGCTCTCTCCCCTAGGAGAGCAGGGATGGATCCCGTGAATTCCCAAACCTTTCCTGGTGCCTTCCAGTCCCTTCCCAGAGCTCTCCAGTGCTGGAGGAATCAATAGGAATGAATTAATTGATTGACCCATCCTTTCATCCCTTCCAGGGATTTCCTTCCCCGCGGCTCTGGCATCGTCACTCGCCGGCCTCTCATCCTGCAGCTCATCTTCTCCAAGACGGGTACGGGGGGGGAGCTGGAAAAGCAGGGAACGAGTTCCCCTCCCACACAGCACCCTGGGGTGCTGATCGCCCCGCTTATCGCCGAGGAATGCGGGGGAGAGCTCTGGGAATGCCGAGGAAAACCAAGGAACGCTGAGCTGGCCATGGGGGTGACTCAATTTCCCAGCCAGGATTCCTCGGTTGCCATCCCCATATCCGGGCAGAATTTCCTTTCACCTTGAACCAGCCAGGCTTTTGTCGTGCCAAAAAAAACAACAAATCCATGGATTTGGGTGAATCCCAGAGCCCCTTGACCTCGTGGAGCTGAGGGAGGCTTGGGAGGAGCTGGCCTCGGGGTGGTGGGAGGGTTGGTGAGGGTTTGAGGGGTGAGATTCCAGCTCTGCCAGGGGTGGGAGGGCAGGGCAGCGCCGAGGTTTCCGCTCTGCCCGCGCCGAGGCGAGGAGGAAGGAAATTGCACCATCCCAGCTGTGGTGGCACGGCCCCAGAGCTGCAAAAATCCCATTTCCTGGGGCAGATT